TTTTTCGATCGTGTTTGCATTCGGGTTCGTGGGCTCCATCTTGTTTATTTACTTGTTTAGTAGATTTTTGCGGTATTCAGTGTTCGATGTTCGCGTATCCAAATGCTTCGTGTTCTGTTTTTCGGGGTAGGGTCCCGATCCCTTGTCCAGGATTTGCTAATGTGTGTTTGATGACAATGACAATGGGTGTTTGATGACCCCTGTCAGCTTGACACACTTTATTTGTCCAAAATAACTGCGTCAAACCACATCTTCTTGATTCGGGGCACCTCGCACTTAGACTACCTTCCCGGATTCGATTTTCGGTTTCCGGTCTTCGCCCCGTATCTGGACTGATCTCTGGATCACATCTCCGCAGGCTATTCGGGCGTTTGTGCAATCTACCGCAAATCTCTTGGCGTGCGTGAAGTCGGCTTTGGTGAAGTGGATGCAGTGGACAAGGCGGAAGGTCGCAGTGAGCCTCGGCAATTCCGAACTGATGTTCTTGCATGGTTGACTGTGGCGATCTGTGGAGACCACCCAAGGTGCGATTGGAATTGGCATGTAACTTAACTGTTGTCGGAATCTACACGCCAAACTCTGGGCAAAGACTCGCGCGGTTGGATTACCGAGTGAATGCAACTTGGATTGTATATATTGGTTTCATTGCTCAAATGCCCAGGCACGCACGAGAAACAGTCTTTCGACTCATGTTCAATTGCGTCATTCAATGAACTGGTTGCCCAATGTTGCAGTTTCTTTTCTGGTTTGAGTAGTTGCAATGTTTTCCAAGGTTTGGGACAAGGAGTTTCGCTCTTATTTGAGGAGTTTGGACACGCAGGTGTTCCCTGAAGTTGCTGTTGCAGTTCTTGCTGAGCTGCTAGCTTGAGTGTTTACCTCGAAGAGAACTGAAGAGAAGGAAAAAGGTGAGCCTTGCTGTGCAAGGCTGAATGCAATTTGGGTGTGGTTGTGTGCGGCGACCTGAATGTAGCACATCAGGACAGCATTCTTGTGTCTTAGGCTTTGTCGCAAACCTGGAATTGTCGGCTGAGGCTGGGAAATTTCACTATCCATTGTTTGTGCAACTTTCAGGACATAGACATATGGAATGCTGGAGCTTCCCACATTCAGAAGTCGGCTGGGACAACACGAGAGGAAAGGGAAAGCTTTGGTGCAATGCTAAAAGAGTCACTCAGAGAAATCAATCTTGTCCCAAGCTGAGTTGTGGCGACTGGGCACTTCAATTCGTTCAAGGTTGGATATGATCGATGCATTCCGTTGGATGAACCCAGCAAATCAAGTGTATACATACTGGAGTCGCAGAATCTTGTCAGCATTAGCCCATAATACGAGCCCGATGACATTTGCCAGATTTCCATGCCCTCGACAGACCTGAGGAGCCAAGAATCGGCCGCCCAACAAGGGACTGCGACTTGACTATTTTCTTTGCAGCAGAAGGCTATTCAATCAGAGTTCGGAGGCAATCTTGTGCAAAGCAAGACGATTTGAAACTGCGTGTGCTTAGCTTACAGCTTACCGATGACAGGCCTTTGTTCGCAATAGCTGGGTGCTGAATTCTTTTGGTGGCAGTGATCATTGTCCCATCTCGTGTGTGCTGAGCTTGCCGACTGGATCAAAGGAAGCAACAGCGAAAAGAGTGATTGCCTGTCCGGCCTGCATACGTTTCAGCTTTTTGAGTAAGGGCGCCACCGGTGTATAGTGGCGTAGCGGTGCAGGCTGTTTATTCCAAATGGAACGCGGAGAAGTTTGACGACGTTCCAAGGAGTGCTTGTGCTTTGTTCGTTGTTCATTTGCTTGTTTCTTGTGTGAGACAGGCTCATGGACAAGTACAAAGACCAGGAGGCTTTGGGTGCAACAACAGTGTTATGTTTTATGTTAAAGTTAAAGGCAAAATTGTTCCACCCTTGCAGTTATATAGAAGGTTCAAACAATCATGCTGCAGAAAATAGTTCAACATGTTTAAACATGTTGAAGCAAGATTCCGCTGCTCTTGCCCTGGGTTTAAATATGTGGGCAGCGTCCATCCAGTATGCATAGAAGCGAGCCACTGATAAGGTTGAGATTGGCAAATTGGCATACATTTGCCACTGCCGGACCTTTGCAAATGTAATGCAGCTGCAAACGTGTGGTTTGGGTTGGGGGCCAGGCAGAGATATATGATCGAATTGTGCGGAAATATGTGCTGCTGCCCAAGCTCTTTCTACTTTGTTAGACTGCTTGCCTTCAAGCATTGGTTTTGAGGTTTTGTCGTTCTCGAGGGGATTGGCAACCTTTGATAGAGGCCATGCAAGGAACCCAGCTCGTCGTGTTTGCAACGCTTCTGGTTTCTTCCTGGGCCTGCTTCGAATTGGGTTCAAGGGCACCTTTCTCGTTCTGAGGTACAAACGCTTCAACCCAAGCAAGCTCACGGAACTAGATAGCAGCTGAGCTCAGCTAGGAGAGTGGTTGTGTCCGCCAAAAAACGCTTACTCTTTTGTCAATTGTTTGTGCTGATGTCTCGACATGGATATCATGAATGCACCTGAAACCCCTTTCTCGATTCAGATGGTGCCGCAGAAGCACCACCCACACAACGCGTGGGAAGGACCCTGGAAAGTTGAAAAGGGTGTGGAGGATAGTTTTTTGCAAGTGTTTTCGGGGATTGTGTTTTGGGGGACTGGCTTGATCAACCCGAACACGACCTTCCACTCATGAAGAACCAGGTTATGAGCCCAACGCAAAAGTAAGTTTCCAATAATCCAACCTCTCAGCACGCGCGTCAACGCCGATGCGGAATGGAAACTCAGCAGTTGGCACTGCTGCAGCCCTGGGACCGGAGCCGGAGGACGAAGGCTCTCAGGAGAAGGTTGAAGGAAGTCAAGGAAGTGTAGTTGCGAAGGAGGAGAGAGAGGATGCAATGAAAGAAGAACGAAAAAGGGAACTGAGCACTTCGGCGAAGTCAACCACTGGTCTCGCATGGGCTCCGCAACTGGACCTACTGATGGAGATGTGTTTCGATGTGGGGGCTTGAAGGGAAAGAGGAGTTTCTAGTTAGAGAAGGTCGCAAAGGAAGACTGCGTCTAGCGGACCACAGCCTCAGGTCACGCAAACGCTCTTCACACACGACCACCTCCGTGAACGAGCCGCACCACAGGTCTTTGGACCAGTCCAGCCTACCTCATCCTCAGGCGATGAACTCGGCCAGCTGGCCCTCTTGAGAGGCGAAGTAGCTCCACGGCAGCCAATGGCTCCGCGACCAATAAGGTGAAGAAAGTGAACAAGGAAAAAGAGAAAGTGAAGGAAGTTGAAGGGTCAAGAATGTGGGAGGTCTCACGAGTGAAAGTTCTTCCTCACCGACAATGGATGCCGTGCGGACAAGAATCGAAGGAAAAGCAAACAGGCGATGCTGTTGATTGCGTGATCAACCATGAGGAGCCCTTCAAGAAGACGCTCTTTGTCGACAACTTGGCGGCCATCGCGCGATGGAAACGCCAACTGACGGACCAAGCATCTTCGGCTTCGTGCTCAACGCCGGGATCTGTCACCAAGTCTGAGGCATCAGGGCCCGTTCTTGCTCCACGTAGCCCCCCACTGACCACCAGCTGACGTTTGCTTACCTTGCTTCTCTGGCGCGCCAATCACACTCACGCCAGCTGTTGCGGCTGGAGTGAGGTGGATGCTTCCCAAGCGAACACCGCAGCTGCAGACGACCTCAGCTTCCTCTCACAAACCCAAAAACGGTGAGGGCCGACGCCCAAAGGAGGCTGTGGCAAGCCAAAGGCGTCGAGGGTACCAAAAGTCATTGCGAGGTTGTTTTCTACGCGGGGAGTTCTTGGCGCACACGCGCCGTTCAGTGGACATAGACATAGACTGAGACTCAGAACAAAGTGTCCCCGACTGCTTACTGTTTTCTGCATGTATATATGTTTCTGATGTTTCTTTTTTGAATATATCTCATTCTGGCTCAAAGTTGTTGCATGATTTTCGGCAGTTGTTGATGAAACGTCGAAGCCGCAGCAAAGAGAATAATGAAAAACCATTGGGCGCGCGAAAAGGGGCAAAGGCGGCAGGGCAGAAGAAACTATATATATATATATCGTATATACATACAATATATACATATAAATATATATATATATCACAGGAGGCGAGCGTGGAAATCGCGCGAGACATATATAGAAAGCACCGAAACCACGACCCAGCCATTGCAGGCAATTAAATCTGATTGGGGAGGAGTCCGGGAGGAGGAACGGCGCGTCTACCCTGCGTCCACCAGAGTTCAGACGCGCAAACCACTTTGCGCACGTCAAACTACGGCAATCAAGCAGCGTCGCGCAGGCGCAGTGGCTACATTGCACCATGCAAAACTTTACAATTTACAAAACATGTGACCGAAGTCTTCCATCTGCCAAAGGCACGAGCCGACTGCGCAACACGCTTTCATTCCAGGACTGCACCAAGTGAAGCTGCCAAGCTACGGTGACGTGGTTGCGCTTGTGTACAGTGGGGGAAGCAAACCTTGCCGACGCAGCAGTTGCTGTGACGCAAGTTGGCGCAGAACTGCTGCGACGCCGGGGCTCTTCATCCTCTTGTCTTTGCGCTTTCTGGTTTTCGACTGCGGCACTCCATCTCTGCGCCGTAGCTGTATATACGAATACCATCTATACCAACCAACATGGTCTCAAGTGCCCAGCGCGCGCATGCCACGCAGGGAACCAAAAAATGTTTTGGTTGAATGAGGCATCGTTTTCTGGCGCGCGGGGTTCATTTTCTTTGTTTCATTTGAGCAAAGTGCTAACGGTCAGGGCTCACGTTTGTTCAAATTTTTCTGGAAACGATATCCATCCCAGAACCGACACCTAGCCTGGTAACGGCGCGCATCTTGGAAACTATCTTTGCCTATTGACACTGTTGGCGCTCGACACAGCGTATGCGCAAGGTTTTTTGCATATAGTTCGCCACGCTAGTTGGACATTGCTCGTCTTCCTTTCTTTTTCTTCGACAGAAGCGATACCAGAAGCGATACCAACCGATATCCACTTCATAGATCTGTACATGCCCTCGGAAACCACCTGCCCACTTAGACGCTACTACTACTACTACTACTACTACTGCTTCTGCTACTGCTACTACTACTACTACTACGACGACTACCACTACCACTACCACTACTACTGCTACTACGACTACTACGACTACTACTACTACTACTACTTCTACCACTACCACTACCACTACTACTACTACTACTGCTACTACTGCTATTACTAGTACTACTATATTTACTACCACTACCACTACTACTACTACTACTACCACTACTACTACTACTACTACTACCACTACCACTACTACCACTACTACTACTACGACCACCACTACTACTACTACTACTACCATTATTACTACTACTACTACTACTACTACCACGTCTACTACTACTACTTCTACTACTACCACTACTACGACTACCACCACTACTACTACTACTCCGACGACGACTACCACGACTACAACCACTACTACCACTACTACTACTACTACCACTACCACTACCACTACCACTACCACTACTACTACTACTACCACTACTACTACTACTACCACCACTTCTACTACTACTACTACTACTACTACTACTAAAACTAATGTTGACTTCCTATTTGTAAATGGCCCGTGAATAGTACTAAATCTTTTCCAAAACCAATTTTAAATAGCCCTCAAATAGTACTAAATGTTTTCTGGACCTTGATTTTCAGCTGCTTCCAGACCTTGATTCATCCAAGCTGATTCTGAGCTTTCAGCTGATTCCAAAACCTGATTATGTTGTGGTTTCCTTTACTCTGGAATTTTGATTTGGCTGCTGCATGTTTCTTTTAAAATTGCTTATTTGGGCATTGCAATTTGCAACCTGAAATCAACCCACAAAGACCACCCCCCACAAGCAGCCCAAACCTTCAATTACTCAAGACCTCAAATAGTACTAAACACTTTTTGGCTGGTTCTTTTGGTGGTTTCCTTTACAAGTCCTTTAGGTTTCCTTTCCTTTCCTTTCATTGCCCTTTCAGTTTCCTTTCCTTTCATGTTCCTTTCATGTCTTTTCCTTTCCTTTCATTGTCATTTCAATTTCCTTTCATTGTCCTTTCAATTTCTTTTCCTTTCCTTTCATTGTCCTTTCAATGTCCTTTCCTTTCATTTCTTTTCCTTTCCTTCAATCTCCTTTCCTTTCCTATCATTTCCAATTCAAATCAAGATGTTCTAGGGATTTCTGGAAATCACATTATTTGGGGCCCACACTTGATCAAGGGGGAGGATGGGGGTTTATTAATAAGAGGCCCACATTTCTTCTACTACTACTACTACCACCACTACTACTACCCCTGCGACTACTACTACTACTGCTACTGCTACTGCTACTACTACTACAACTCCTATTCCTACTACTACTACTCCTCCTACTACTACTACCACCGCTACTACTACTACTACGACGACTACTACTACGACGACTACTACTACCACCACTACTACTACTACGTACTAACTACTACTAACTACTAACTACTAGCTACTAACTACTAACTGCAAACTACTAACTACTAACGACTACTACTACTACCACTACTACTACTACTACTGCTGCTGCTACTACTACTACTACTAACTACTACTACTACTACTACTACTACTACTCCTACTGCTACCACTACCACTACTACT